CAGTTGTCTAGTCTGTCCAGGTCCCTCTGGATGGCAGCGCAGCCCTCTGGGGTATCAGCTACTCCTCCCAGTTTGGTATCATCAGCAAACTTGCACTCTGTGCCTTCATCCAGGTCATTGATGAATAAATTGAACAGGACTGGACCGAGGACTGGTCCTTGTGCCCAAAATCTATGGGGCCAAAATATATATGGCCCAAAATCTAGGAACTTTCAAATATGCCTTTGGAAGAAACTGATTTTCTCTACTAACTATGTAAAGAATTTGCATAGCATGTCACTTAAGTGGCATCTGAATTTAGCATTCAATTTTCACTCAAAGGATTAGAAGAAAACAGTTTGGAAAATTTTGGCTTTGACTTATTACGTCCTCATATCAGACTCTCACCATTTTTGGAACTTATATCAGGGATACCTTTTCACCTTGTATGTTACTACATAACCATTTCTTATTTGTTGATATTTCAATACCAGCGTCTGTGTTTTGCAGCTATGAGAACAAGTCAAGGTATTTTAGAAGACATGCCAGGATTGAAAGCCTTACCTGTAATTCTGCCAAGTCTGCCATTATACTTCTTGCCAACAAAACCAGCTATATGAGCCCCAAGGCTAATTCCAATTATGTGTACGGAGTCAAGAGAAGCTCCATCGGCCTAGCAGGAAAAAAAAAAGGTGGGGGGAGATGACTGATCTCTAGCGTGACAAGCAGTTTGCAACATGGTTAATTGAACAGGTCTCCCCAGTCACTAGACTGATTTAGTTTTCCTTTTTTGTCAGTACTCTATGTTATCTATCTAACTAACTTTAAAATATATTCTGTACTAACTATATAGTGTAGTAATTATGATTTTTTTTACTAGTTAAAAATGTAAAAGGGAAGCCTGAGTATCATTTCTTCCAAACTGTCATGTAAGTCTACTTGAACACGGAGAGCACCAGGAGGGAAGAGTTTCATCAGAACACAAAAGATGAACCAAAACTATGAATTGTCAAGGGGAAGGGAATTTCCCCTACGCCTGATTTTCAACCCTCTCCTCTCAAAAAAAAAAAAAAAAAAAAAAAAAAAAAAGTAATACTATTAACACTTATACCTTGGAACATCTGCATAGGGCAGACAAACACCTGCTGGCCGGAAAGCCTTAGCACTCTACAAAGGAAGCAGTATTTTTAAATCTTCTGAGGAACTCTGAGTTAGAATCAATGCACCTATTTATGTACTCTCAAAATTAATTAACAAATGCAGCTCACAGGTATCAAACTGATAAGTCATGGGACACAACACACTTCTCCACTATCATTTTGCTGGCTCGCACAGTAAGATTCAGCAAGATCTACGTATGCATAGGTCAGATAGATGGGGTGTGCGACAGGCAACCAACCAGAAAGTTACATAAGCAAATTTGCAAAATACACCTTTCTATCCCAGGCTGGGTAGGGGATGGTATCTTAGAGTGCATGTAATACTATTTTTTTATTTTTGCTCCATATTATAAATTTATATATAAATATAAATTTACTACTGCAGTTACAAATGATTGTCATTATTTCTGATCCCAGAGGACAGATTCTGAGAGCTATCTCTCCTTTCACCTCATTTTTTCTCAAAATGTTGCTTTCCCTTTCTCAATAATTTCTTACTATAGGACATTTAAATTTTCTAAGAGCATCTGGAAAGAGAAGTGCTGAAAATGGAAGAAAAAGTAAGTGATAAATCTAATTATGGAGTAAATAAAATGATCAAACTTTTCTTTCCTTTTTAAACAATAAATGTAAAGGCCAGTTAAGACACCGGGATCAACAATTTTTTCAATGACTACCTATAATTTTGCAACAAATATTTATATATCACTGTAAGATTTTCATTGAAAATCTTTAATTATGTTAATTTTACATTCAAGAGTAGCGCAATTTCCTGTAACATCTTAATGCTGCATCATATTCGAGTATCTCCTTTCACCTCCTACTGATGCACTAGCATTTTTCAGGAGACATGAAACTCTTCAATGGCCAAAGAAATTACATGCAGTGCAGTCTCAGACATATTTCAATAAAATGACAAAAATCATTATTTATTTCAGAGAGAGGGAAGTAAGAACTTAGGTGAAGTTAAGATGTGCAAAAGCTGCATAAAAAGTTAATTGGCAAGAGATTGGTAAGACAAGTCCATGGATGTTGTTCGCTGTGCTTCTCTTCAGATATCACTCTAAACATTCATTCCCACTCAAACTATGCCATTTAAACTTATATGACTGATATAGCTTATATGACTGATACAGCTGATATACCTTACCAGCATCTGGTCAATATAGTTCTTCAGTATTTTTGCAACTTTCCTGGTGTTTTCAACAGCAGTGTTATAATTAAAAGTTGTAGCACCACGATTCCAATCAACTATAATGAGGTTAATATCCTCTGAAGTTAGTAAAAGGGTCTTTATGTCACCTAGCCATACTGGTGAAGATCCTGTTGGTCTGAAGCCATGAACAACAAAGACAATTTTCTTGGAGGTATTAAGATATTCGGATGCTGTAACATTGTGTTCATTTAGTTTCTCTGAGCAATCTGGATTTTCCCTTGTGCTTAAGAGTAGTTGGACTTCAAGATTTGTTCCAGTCAAAGCATTGCCTATATTAAGATCTGTAAATTCAGGACACTTTTTCTCCTCATCTGAAAAAGATGAAAATGTTAGATAGTCATTCAATGAGTTAGACTACCTGAAAGGCCACCTGTTAATTTTTATCTCCAAATTTATCCATAATGGATAAATATCCAAAAAGGAATGAAGAATTTCCATTTTATCCACCCTAGACCTTTGGAGCAAGGGGCTGGAATGTGTGCTGACCAGTGGCGAGCCATAGTTCTGCAATTTTCACTATGCTTCCCTGAACCAGCCAAATACGAAATATATGTAATTATTTCTGAATCATTTATTTTCTCTGTAACAAATGCACAGTAGCAGTCAGTATCAATAAGTTCCTTAGCTTAGCCCTCCAATTTTAGGTTCTCAGACTTTTTTCACAATTAATGTGCATTGTATAAGCAGGAACACAGTTGAGGCTGTTTCTTCCTCTTTCAGCTGCGGTGGTTGAGTTGCTCATTCTTAGGTTTTCTTGTTCGACCTAGCAGTAAGAAACCACAGTTGTATAAAATGTGAAAAATCCAGAACCGTCCCCTATTTTGGATCACCATAATAAGGACACCATTACCAAGAAACAAAGAGATAGCAGACATAGAATTCTGCTCTGAGTTCGGAAAAAAAAAAAAAAAAGAAAGAAAATCTGTCAGATGAAGCAGCATTTAATACTTACGTGCTCAGAAAATTATGGTACAACAGGACAAAAGGATGGAGATTTTCAAAACAGTCTAAAAATACTGAATTCTTCCCCTGCATGGCTATTAATATTAAAAGTAAATGCTTTAAAATGTATCCTTTGACAAGTAAGGTCATACTGTGTGGAAAGTGACCTCAGGATCTTGGGTACAATCCAGTGCCTGTCACAGATTTTTTTTTTAATGACCTCTTCATATTCTCAATGATTCAAGGTGTTTTACGATCAAATAATATCAGGCCAATCTCTTGACTTCTAGTGGGCTCTAGTACTTTACAGAAAGGTCTTGACTGATATTTGAAGGCACCTTTCACAATTTTATTGTCATTAACAGTTGCGTAAATGAAGAGTTGGTCAGCTGCTGGAAAACTGAGATAAGAATAGTTCCTATTCTGTTCCTAAAAAGAAAGTAAAAAAGAAATAAGTAAACTGCTCTGAATTTCTTAGAATTATAAGAGAAGTAGTTTAAGCACTTCTTCATTTCCCAGCAATGTTACCAATATGGGGAAGACAATTAAAAAAGAAACAGACAGAACCAGGTCCTTCACATTATCAAATCTAAGAGATAAAGTCCTCAGCAGTTTCTAAAATCTTGCAAGGAAAGCACAAAAGTATTCAAATCTTCCTTTGAAGCTGGACGCATACCAAGGTTAGACCTAAATATCAAACCCACATAGAAAAAGCGATATTGGCAAATCGGAATAGGGTTGAAAGGATTATTAGAACTTTCTACCCCAACTCAACCAGAAAGGTTTCATGCCTATCCTTACCTGATCATAAATGATGAGAAGTTAGAATTCTCCATATTAAAAAAAAAAAAATCACAGTTCTCCTCATTTGCATGTTGAATAATTTAAGTAATGTTTACATGATTACTGAACAGTTTATTAACTAGATACTGATATAAGAAAACTAAAGGATACAGTTGCTTTGATGACATTTATCAAAAAAAAATGCAATTACTTTGAATATAGTAGAAACAGTATTCAAAAACTTGGCAAAATGTCATGCACCTGACAAGATACTGAGTTGTTAACAAAATGTGACATATTTAATCTCCAGGTTGCATATAATGATATAAGATGATAAAATCAATAAATATTATTTAAAAACACCATACACAGAACTAAATGCTAAAAAATAGTCAGTTAATTACATTTTCACTATTCAGATTCATAGCTACAACATGGAAGTCTTTTTAATTTTGCATAATACTATTCTTACTCTGGAAAATCCAAATTTAACCACAGAAGCTTATACTAATACTAAAATATAAAAAGACATGCTAATATTGTACTGCATTTACTAATACTGTAAACACTGAAGTGTTCCTTCATACTGAATGTTTTGATTAGTTATCATAACATTTATTTGGTAGAAATAAGATTTTTTTTCCTAAAGTCAATGGAATTAAGCTGATATAAAACAGAGACAAAGTCTACTCCACTGATGTGAAATATCTATCACAAGGGAAATATTTTAACCAGCGAAATCTAGTTACTAGCTGGGAAATTTCACAGGAAAAACATATTTACCTATGGCTGTTAAATGGCAGCAGAATTATTATTTGAAAATTAGATAAAGGAAAAAATGATGATTTCTATACTGTGCTAATACATAAGTGCAATAAACATAGCAATGAACTAGTGCTTTGATTTGTTTAGCAACAAAACATCAAGAGGAAGTTTTTCAAACCCTTATTTCTGGTTGGTTATTGGAATGAATACTCAACTGCCCTCTGTACATTCTTGTGAGAGTACTCATATACTTTTCTGCATAGGTTGAAAATATAAATACATTTTGAGTTGTTATATATAAAGTTCAGTCCAGTTAATATCTAACTTCAATTTTTTTCTGCATGTTTATGATCATCCTTATTTAGTAGCTCGGTTCTGTGGCTGAAGAGGGGAGAATTTTAAACATACACAGACGACTTTGTCCCTAAATTTTGTTATTTAAAGTATAATAGATACTTGAAAAGTTGTCAGCTTTTAAGGTTGGCCCAGTCAGCAATGAACAATTTCAAACCCAAATGAACATATTAAAACTATTTCACAATTTCCTCTTTACTTAGTACAAAGTGCACATACCTGTATGTGTGTCTGTACAAAGTACAACAGATAAAGTTCCAGGCTTTGTTCTATTTACTTTAAAATGAAAATATTTGGCTCAGTTTCAAAGCAATCAAATTCTCTTTAAGAATCAACTGTTCCATCAGGCATAATTCACAAGATTTAATCTTTTGGCCAAATTACATGAAGAAATATTAGCTTTCCATGCTTGAATAAAGACAAGAGACTATACCACAAAGAGTAAGCTAATGGTTTTCTTACCTGATTTCACCCAGCACATCAGACAGACGAAGAAACACAATTTCAACATGTGGAAATGGAGAAAAGCAATACGTAGCACCCACAAACAACTCTAGACTACTCTAGACTACACTCTACAGCATGCTAGATTTCTAACTTAAGTGAATGCCACTGACAAAGTAGGTGGAAGGTAGAGTAGGAAGCAGAAAGCAAAACTGCATTCAAGCTTCTGCAATTCATGACTCCTCCTATTGAATGACTTCAGTAGGTAGGGTGGTTTCTGGACTTTCAGGGTTGGGATTTTTTTAAATCTATTTCCCTCTCTCTTTGACAATCACCAGATTAACACGTGAGTAAAGCTCACTCTGTATATTACCAACAACTCTGTTACCTGTGTGAGACTTAGATAGCAGAGTAACTAGCTGTACCTCACCTTAGGGATCCACCATGCGGCTCCTTTCAAAAGTGTCACTAAATTGGTGTCCTGTGGAACCTGGAATTAAGAGATATTGAGATCGGCATAGGAAATTTGCAATAAAAGTCATATATGCTATGGAACCATTTCTTTGTAAGAATTTGAGAATTATTCTGAGAACTCTATGTCCATGGTTTAATATGCATACAGAATAATTTTCTGAGCTTTCTAAAAAGTGACTCTAATTTAAAACTAGAGCACATCTGGGAAAGTATATGGGAGAGAGATGGAGTTTACAGGCCCAGGATTACGATTCTCACTCAGACACTGACTTGCTGGGTATTCCGAGTATGTCACAACTTCATTCTCTTTGTGTCCCCAACTGTAAAACAAATGAAGAAACATCTATCTCTGTGAAACTCATTTCTTTACAACTCAATTCACCAGATAAATATAACAGGACAAGCTAAACTTTCTTGGAGTTCATTGGTAAGGCAAAGAGGCAGATAAACTCTACATTATCCCAGTTAGAAGACTGAACACTTGGTCGGTTTACCTATATCTGGCTCAACTACTTCCACTGTAGAGGGAAAAATAAAAATAAAAATAAAAAGTGACACCAGAACCACTTAGATGTGATGCAGAAGCATGCCGGACATGCCAGAGATGTTTCCTAGATGGTGGATTTTTCACAGGTATGATCTGGGTTTCCTTCTTTTCTTTCCACAATCAGTAACAGGGGCTTTTCATTATTTACTTCTAAGTCATCCATCTTTATAGCTAGCTTTGTGTTCCTGGAGGCTCGGCAAAATTGTGCAATAAAGGTTTCTGCAGGTGATAACCTTAGGGAATTTATTTGAAGTCTTTCCCCCTTGAATTCAATAATAAGCAGAAGACAATGCAGTCTGACTACTCACATGCAAACGGCCTCTGCTTAACCAGTAACTTTAGTTTAGTTTTGTTTTGTTTTCCGTTCTCAGAATTGTCATCCTATTCTCATTGAAACACATTAAGGCAATGTTATTTTTTGCAAACCCTCTTTATTCCACATCTTAGACTATACTACTGTTATGAAAGCAGAGACATATTGATGTAAAGTATTTCTTAGAACAAGTAACAGTATAGTTTGTGCTACGTATAGTTACATGATGTTACATCAAATGAAAACTGAGTGCATTCAGGCAGCTATCAATTAGGCAGCCTCACTGTGCAGGCTTCACAAGTTAAGGATGGAAAACTCAGCACCAGTGAAAATGCTCTGTACTAGAAAATACTGGATGCTGGAACCAGTAATGAGATCTACTAAAAGACTTACCACACTCATCAATGAACCAATTGCCTGATATTAGAAGAAATTCTTATATTATATATAATTATATTATAATATATAATTACATATAATATATAATCTAATTAAAAATAATATCTAATAATATCT